ATATAGAGATAGATACAGATTGATATAGAGATAGATACAGATTGATAGAGATAAAGAGATAGAGACAGATTGATAGAGATACAGAGATAGATTGATATAGAGATAAAGAGATAGATTGATATAGAGATAGAGATAGATTGATATAGAGATAGAGATAGATTGATATAGAGATAAAGATAGATTGATATAGAGATAAAGAGATAGAGACAGAAAGATGAAGAGATAGAGACAGAAAGATAAAGAGAGGTAAAGACAGATATAGGGATGGAGGGGTAGAGAGATAGAGAGGTAGAGGGATATAGGGGTAGAGGGGTAGAGGGATGCATGCATGCATGCATGGATGGATGGATGGATGGATGGATGGATGGATGGATGGATGGATTGAAATCTAAAGTATCAGAAGACTAAAACAGCACCAGCAGCTGAAGCAGATTTCAAAGAGAACAAAGTTTTTAAAGGAACTGAAGAGCTTGAAAATGTATTTCTGAGTAATTTGTTTTATAATTAAAGTTTAAATGGAAAAATTTAAGTCTAAAAGTTTCTAAAAGTAACAGAGACCGCGCCCGTCTCCTGACTGAGCCGAGGTGAACAACGGTTTGAACGCTGAGTCAGCGCTAACGCAGTGAAGCTGCTTCACACCCTGAATTCAAAGCGATCGACTTGTTGCACCATTTACTCGTTTTTCTCACCAATTTAAACGTTTGATCTGTTTAAAGGCACGTTTGGTTTTATTGAGAGAGAGTTCCCGTCAGGTTTACTGTACCTCAATCCTCTTATCCAGATCTTTACACTCCTGCACTAAACAGTCTCTGGTGCCATACAGGAAGTACACCACCTGAGGGGAAGACGAAACGGCGCTCAGCCAACAGAAGCACCAGCCAAGGTTCAGGATTTGTTTATTCAAACCTTGTTTACGATGCGGCTGGAGAAGAAGGACGGCGTTTTCTCGCGGTGTGCGTGGAAGTTGAGCGCCATCAGAGCGTCCGGGCCCACAGAGAAGTAGTTGTTCATGGTCAGAACCTTCAGAGGTTCTGGGTTAGTTTGTAGTTTTCACCAAGTTGGAGCTAAAAACGGAGATCTGACTCACCTTTGGTTTACGGAAGTAGGAGCCTTTTGAAGCGACCTGCACCTTCCACCTTTGCAGAAAGACAAAGAGTCCCCAGAATTATTACAACCGTCAACGCATCAGAAGGCCCAGCATCAATAGGTCGGTTCTGACGCCCCACCTGTCCATTCGGACCACCTCAGCGTCCAGGACGTTCCGGAGAACCTGCTCCACGGGAATCTCCCCGGCGTACCCGGCTCCCCAGCCCAGCGTGTTGGAGAGGTCGTTTCCTGTTCCCAGAGGCAGAATGGTCACTCTGGGGATGAACTGGTCCTGACCCTGAGGAAGAAAAGACAGACTTTATCATAAAACTTTATTAATCGCCCACTGACAAAAGCTGAAGGTGGAGCGATGACGTTTTGTCACTTCCTGAATCTCTGCACAGACTTGAATAAAACTCTCAGCCCAACTCAAGATGGCTGCCAGAATTAATCAACAGTATCCATCACAAAACCGGTTGTAACTCTACACATACTGAGACAAAAGTTTGGTGTGGTAGTAGCTGAGAGTCATTCACAACACACACCCCGAGCATAAGAACGTGGTCCAAAACCGTGACAGGAAAGGTGGCGGGTGCAGCCAGAAAAGTTCTTCAGCATCACATCTAAAGGCTCTCTGAACGTCTTCCTGGTTTTTTTATTTATTTATGGTTCATTTTTGTCCTCAGAGGAAGTTTTTACTTGTTTCAGAACTTACACCTGAGACTACAAGTCTCCCAAACTCAAGGAAAGAGCGAACTATAGCCAGGGGTGCCACTAATGAGGGGGCAATGGCCATCCCTAAAAAAAAATTTTAATTAAAAAAAGATGCCCCCCACTGGCTCTCATTGGTCCAACAGTTTTATCCTCTCAGTCCCAAGCTTTTGCTTAGTGTGCATGTTTTTTTTTTAAATTTACCCTAGCAACAAAGGATTAGTAGAACCTTATAAACATATTTTTTTAATTTAAAAACAAAACTTAAAATCTAGTTCCCCTGAATATGGACGAGTTTAAAGCCAACAGTATTCTGGGTCTCAGGAGGTTATATGCAGAATATATATTTTTTCAAATGTAACTTTAGTAGAGGACAGGCTTCAATAAGTTGCAAAGTGACGGTCTTTATTAAGAAGGAATATCAACTTTAATAATAATAATAACAATAATAATAATAATAATGACCTTCTGAATATCAGTAGGTGATTCCCCAACGTCCATGTTGCTGCACTTGTCAAATATTGTATGTATGAACAACAAGAACCTCCTGGAATTCTATTCTGGCTTTTGGTTTTGGAAAACAAAATATAAATAAAATGCTAAATATCTAATGAACCACTCGATGGATTTTACATGAAACTCTCAGAAGTTAAGTAAATCTACAAGCGATTAACTTTTGGGAACAACCAGATTCAAGATGGCTGCCACAGCTAATCAACTTTAGCAAACAGAGATGATTATGCTCAAGTCATGGCGACGGGCGATATGCATTTCCTCCAAAAAAAAAATGCTACTTTTGTTTCAAGCCAAGTTATACAGAATAAATAGAAAGTTACAAATTCAACTAAAGAAATTATGTCTTGGTGACAAAAGAGCCTAAAGCTCAGAAATAAAATAAATTATTTAAATTTTCTGTTCTGCATCAACGCCATCCTTTGAGTTCAGGAGCCTTTTTACGTCTAAATGACCCACAGGTCAGTTACGTGTCTCAACAACAACAACAACAACAACAACAACAACAACAACAACAACAACA